CGGACAACGACTCTGACGATTCATCTGATGACACAAATGCTTTACATCTAGCTGGAGACTCACTATTTGGAAATCGCGCTGGGGACTCTACTGACATGGGATCCGACTCAGAATATGTTAGTAGCTGCAATGGGGAGCCGCAAACAACGACACAGCTTAATCCTGCAAGATTCCCGGGTATTCCAGAAGCACCCAGTCATTCGAAAGACGCCGTAAATGCTATAATTGACAACGGGATGCTCGCGAATGTTGCGGCCCAAACCGCGTCGATATTTATCCAGCTGAACAGGAAAGCTGCGCTTACGTCGGGGTTCCAATCCTTTCCGCGGGTTGGATTCCTTAGACGATGGGTCAAGGATGGTGAAACAGACAACAAATTAGTCGCTGATACTACACCTGAGAAGCCGGCGATGCGAACAACTGAAGTTGTCGAGCTTATTCGTGATGCACTACGACCTGAAAACATGATTTGGCAATCTGGTCGCAACTGTAGCTCGAGAATGTCTGCGTACCCAACTTTGTCAGAAATATCTCAGGAATTCACGTTAAACCCGCCCCAGCATGCTGCGTTCTGTAAAATTGGAAAGGGGTTGTTTACGCGTTGGCTAAAAGCGGATCCGAGCCAAGCAGACTACCAAGGGATCAATTTTGAAAATGAACTGGCTCATGACCAACTCCTCTTTTTTTTGGGTGGTGCTGGTGGAACGGGAAAAAGCCGTGTTGTCGATGCTGTCACGCGGCTGTGCAGTAGATGGAAGAGAGACTCATGCGTGCTGAAAACTGCCTTGACCGGGAAAGCTGCTACACTTATTCAAGGCCGAACGCTGGCCAGTTTCATGCTTTCGCTGGAACGATCCAAAGGGGCCAACTTGATTGGTGTTGACATGCTCGTAATTGACGAGATATCAATGCTGACCAAAACTAGCTGGCTAAAACTGGATAGACTACTAAGACGCAATAAGCGGGTTTCAGGCGTGCCTTTCGGAGGGATTCATATTGTTCTGGTAGGCGATTTCCTGCAACTACCTCCTGTTGGAGCTGATCCCATCTACATAGACCCTCGCAACAAGCAAACTTTCTCCACTACAGATATTGAAGGATTCCTGCTCTGGCGTCGGTTCGAAACGGTAATTGTCCTGGAGGAATCGGTACGGTTTCGCGATGACCCAGAATGGGGAGCGGGATGTGCGGCAGCTCGTTTGGGCAATTGGACTTCTGATTTTATAAATCTTATCAACGCGAGGCATGTAGACAAAGCCCACGATATTCATTGGAGTGCTGACACAGTGTTTGTATCACCTGATAATTCGACGCGCACAGCTATTAATAACGAGTTTCTGAAGGCAACCGCTAAGCGACTAGCCCCTGGGAACTATCCTGTGCGTGTGGTAGCTAATTTCCAGGGGTCCCTTTCTGGGCTTAGCCGCCAAGATGTGGAATATGTGATGGGGTTACCAGATACACGCTTCGGACGAATGCCGCCATTTATCGACCTTGTAGAAGAAATGCCAATCCAGGTAACTCAAAATGTTCGCCCAGCAAAAGGAGCTGCTAACGGAACACTGGGAGCTCTGGAACATTTGATATTTTCGCCAGATACCTCTTTTAAAGTCGTCCGAGACAACAGAGCAGATATGCTGGTACGGGTTCCAAATAAGCCTCCACTGTACGCGATGCTACGGATTAACAGGGGGCCTAATTCCGCTCCGTTCAATGAAGATGTAGATCCCGAGCTGTTTCCTGTGTTTTATGATGCACAGGCCTTTTCAAAATCATCGGTATCCCTGCCGCGGTCGCCTACGGGTGAAAGTAGGTCACTCTCAGTTAAATTGCAGCAACTACCTATAGTGTCTGCTGTAGGTTCTACCATCTACAAAGTGCAAGGCGAGACGTTACGCTCAATGGTTGTTGTGGAATGGAAGTCTCCTATCGCTATTGTAAACAAACCTCAGCAGACGTACCTGCTCGTTTCTCGGGTCGTGTCACGTTTCGCTTTTTCGACGTTTACTCAATTTACGGCAGAACTAGCCGAATGGTCTCGGCCGCCCCCAGCTGCTCTTGAAGAAGAAATTCGTCTACAGGAGTTATCGCATATCACGCTACAGGCACTTCAGCAGGAGTTACTACTTTAGTATAAATTTATCGCTTTCATTGAATCGCTTATATTATCTATTACGGTGATGGTACAACTAACACTTCGAACTGCGAATCTCCCCCGGGCCACAGCCCGGGTACCCAATTTGTTTTATGTCCGTAAGAATACTACGAGCAAACCATTACATTTTTGATGGTTTTTTTTTTTCGTCTGAATGGCCGTCAGCCAACACAACTTAAATGGAATGGAAAAATATTTCGAGAGATCTGATTGGCCGGGATGGCATTCAGACGAAAAAAAACCATTAAAAAATTAATGGCGTTTTTTCGGCATCCCGGCCAATCAGATCTCTTATGTCTTAAATAATATAGTAATTCGGGGACAGATTGCCAATTAGGGGCCGGATCGTTTGGCCAATGAAAGAATCTAGTTTTTCATTGAATAGTTGTGACTGGTCAGTTAAGAAACAAGGCCGATGCATATAGTGAAATCAAGTCAATTGAAGTGGCCATAATTGGCAGGACCATCACTCGTGGTGTGTCTGCCGTTTGGACAAGTACACTCCGCGACAGGATGGATCGGCCACCCACGTCGGTGGCCGTAACTTCGTCAATTTTAGGAGTTGGAGGGCGCTATTTAGATATGTT